CTGTCCTAGGAGCACGCGGGCCGGGCGGACRGGAGCCTCCGCGGGCGCCCGTGGTGCCAGGGACTTCTGCGGGAAGCGCCCTCGGCAGCGAAGGTAAGAGGGGCAGTGCGGTGTGGTGGGGCTGCCCCGGAGGAGGGTACTTTGCTCCAACGCAGACGTGGCCGTGGGAGCAGCACACACGTTGTGGGCTTGYGTTTCTGACTCGCTTCGGTTCAGTTTGGGTCAGCAAAGCCCTTGTCGCTCGCGGTTGCTGGGGGTCGGCTTTTATTGAAACCATGAAGATGAGCAGGGAAAGCAGCCGTGACCATCACAGGACTGAGCAGAAGATGCTGCAGTGAAGACCAGCAGCTGCTTGACCCCTGACAGCTGCTGTTACTCAAACAGAGACCTATGGCTTTTTASTTTGATTCCTGAAGGTTAGCAGGTTGCTCCAGTGTTTGGAGGGTACTGCTCAGTACCTCTCCCTGCCCTAGGGTGAGGGATAGACGTTCATTTTACGGAACTGTATTGAACAGGTAGCAAAGRTTACACCTTGTTTCAGACCTGCTAAGGTGAGAATTCCTGCTCTCTTGCTGTATTTATCCYGGTGCCTCTCTGCCCAGCTCTGCTTGCATAGCCATAGTGGGCTCTTGCACAAGCTTGATGTTAGAATGGCAGCAATTCAAACCTCCCTTCTCCGGTTAAGTAGGGGCAGTTCCAACCTTTCTTCGGGATTTATTTACCACCCTGCTCCTATGGAAATGCTAATATCCTCCTGCAGGACAATCTCCTGTGCTTAGCAGAGCTGCCTGGCACAATTTTAACCCTGTGCAGGGCGGGCTGCTCGCCTGTACGTGGTGTCCCAACCTGCCTTTGCTCCCTGACAGCAGCACCTCCATGTGCCCGGTCTGCCCGATTCCCCTTTTGTGGCTCCCCTCCAGCAGGAGAGACTGAAGGAAAACCAAGATCTCTCTGCTCCTGCTTTAAAGGCATTTGCAGGAGTCTCGAGCCTGCAGTGCAGGATCTCTGTGCACCTCCTCGGCTTCTTCCCCCTTCCAGATGCTGCTGAAGATGAGAGACACGGCCTTTTTGAAGCAGACTTCGAACTTTGAAGTTCAAAACTGCTGAGCTTTTAGGGCAGCCTGATCTTCTTTCTATCCTTMACCCTGCCCCGCAAGCAGGGACGGTGCTTTCCAAACCAGAGCAGAATAGTTTGGCGCAGGCCTGCTGCTGCTTCCTGTGAAGTGTAATTCTCAGCATGTAGTTGTGCTTCATATGTGGCCACTTCTGTTCCATTTCATTTTTTTCAGGCTTGAAGAAAACACTGGATAACCTAAAATGGTGCTTTATTTTGCAGTGCCGTGCATAGGCTGCCAGGAGATAAAGGATAGTTTAATTGCRTTTTTAACAGTCTCATTCTTATACATTTTTTTTCATTAAGATACGTGAASATGGCTCCTTGGAGGACAACTGTAATTCTACCTTGCTATCACCTGCTTCTTATTTTAATCCTCAGTGATATCTATGTAGCATGCAGGTTATTTCACAGTGCTTAGCACTGGMTTTTAATTGGTGTGGAGCACTTAGCACTGGCCTCTGACAAGGCTGTATCTCTGAACAGTCCCCRCTTTTGCATGTCAAGTTATTAGTGAGCTATTAATCCTGTATTATTATTGAAAGCACTAACCCAAACTGCTGTATTCAAACAGCAAATCACTCCAGGGATGTACAAGGTGCTGCAATATTCTTAAAGATGCTAATGGATTTCTCCCCATTTGCTCAGCTTGAGCTGCATCAAAGATGCGATCTGCAAAAGCTGCAAAGATGTGATCTTTTTTCAAGCCAACCTGTGCTCTTCTGTCCTCCAAATTCTTGCATCTTGAACCCTGAATGGCCCACGTCCTAATGTCTTAATGCTCACCTGGGATGAGGGCACTTAACCAGGCTCATTGGTTTTTATCAGTCCCTGCTGGCAGGGAGATAAGGCTGCAGTCTGTGAAAGTCAGTTTGCTGTCAGGCAAATAAACAGCATTAGTTTATTATTATTTAAAGTGCTTCCCCTATAGTTATTCAGATGTTTCCAGAACTGGAGATTTCACTTCAAGGCCAGTTTCAACTTGTGTCCAAACTCATCCCGGTGCCTGCACTGCCAAAGCAACTTCTCTCCAGAGCTAATTTCTGCCAATTCCTTAGTATGTTTTATAAAAAAAAAAAAAAAAAAAAAAAATCTCCCGGGAGAACTAAAGTAAATAGCTACTATTATTCTGTATCATTCATGTGACTCGCACGGTGTTTTTTATTGCTAAGAAACAGCAGAGCTCAACAGGGAAAAGCCAGCAAGCTGCCCACAGTGGTGGGAACGGTGTGAAACGCTGGGGAATGATCTACGGTCTAGACCATTTTTTCCTCATGTGCTTCATCATCCATTGATGTTAGCAGCACGCGACGTCTCCTCAGGCAGCCCAATTTGTGCTGAAGCAGCTTTCTGGGCAAGGAAAGATTGTACTTGGTGCTTATTTAGCACATCCAGCGTGCTTTTAAAGCGGAAAGAGGGTGTATTTCAAAAACTGAAATAAACCCGGCCAGCGACAGCTTTATTTAAAGCTTTGYTTCTTCAGACAAAGTGAATTTTGCCCCTTTGTGGCGAGAGGAGGCAGGATCACAGGCGCACCTCGCTCCTGTGACTGTAGCTTYGTATTGTCTTGCCTTTTTGCGACTGTCCCTTGAGTGACAACGCGTTTCCTGGGAATCCTGCAGCACAGGGCAAGGCGCTGGCGCGGGATGCCCCCGGCAGCACYCGCGGGCAGCCACAGGAGTCAGTGTCTCCGCTTGTCCTCGGCCGGGGAAGCAGCRCGCTGGGCTCCTTGCAGCTGCGCTGGGACCTCCTCCTTTCCCGGTAAGTGTCTGTTTCTTTGGGAATGGTACCATATAATCAAGCAAAAGGAAGGTATTGCCTACTGTATTGTTTGTTTGAGCAGCAGGTAACAATTATTGCAAGATTTCACTGCCTCARTGAAACCGAACTCCTTTGCTTCTGTAAAAGGTTGCTTCTCAAACCAGCACCTAGTGCACCGTGTTTATGCCAGCATGGATTTTCCTCTATCATATACCTGTCACTGAACATTTTGTAAGCAAGCTGTCCTTGCTCACAGCYTTCTTGGTGCACTGCTACAAACAAAAGCAAAGTGCATCAAACGTGCCTGGGCTCTAATGCAAAGGCACAGGATCTGTGGGATCTTGGGCATGTTTAGTTTAGATCCTTTTAGCTACAAAACAGAAAAGTTGGGTTTCTGTTTTGAGTTGTTGCGTCTATTCTGTCTCAAGCAACAGATGTAAGCAGCCATCTAATGGGGACTATTGCTGATCTGTATCTCTTTGGGTTTCGGAATTACTTATTGTTAGCCCTGTGTTGTTATTTTATAAAGGAATTATTGTTTTGAACTGAATTCTTGTTTTGTGAAGGACTCCAACCTTCAATGACTAAACCGAGCTCTAATGAATAAAAGTCCTCTCTAGCTTCCCCAGAATTAGCCTATTTGTTACCCAGATAAAACTTGCTTTATATGTGATTTTTCTTAGAGCCAGAAGAAGCAAAAATCCTTTAGCCACTGAAGCTTCTAGTGAAAACCAGTACAGCTCAAGTTACAGAGTCGGAACAAGAAACCGCTTTGTGTTGGTAGGAATATTTGGAGGCTCTTCTGCTTGCTGATATATATGTTTTTACCTGATGCCTGTACTGCAGATGATTTTCCCACACTGTGACTTGATACGTGCTCCAAAGAGGGTATTCTTTGGTTTCAGGTACCCAGGTCCTGAGCAGAGTTTGAATAGGCTGGAAAACCAAACGGGAGGTCAGGAATGCCCGAGTGCTGGCAAGGTGCCTGGGGTGGAGCTGGTAAACACGATTCCGAGCGCGGCAGCAAGTCCTGTGCGGAAACCATGGAAGTTTGTGTGGAACAGGAGAGTGAGGCTCCTGTACAACCTGCTGCAGAGCTGTTACGGAACAAATATTAATTGGGAATTTTGAGCATGAAGGGGGTCCCTCTGCTCCCACAGCTTCTGGGGTATTAGGCCCACAAGACAGAACCTGCACCAGCCCTTATGGTCACTGATACTCCCCTGACCACCTATAAATGTTTCCAATGGTCTGATTTTTGCATCTTGCAGAGCACTTGTGTACTCAGGCATTCCTGATCTGCAAAACCAGTGTGCCCACAGCAGAGACCTCCGGCAGCAAACTCTTCCCAGGAGTTATTCCCGAATGTCAATGACCCTTTCTCCTGGAAAGGGAAAGCTTGCTATGGATCCTGCACCTGGGAGGAGTATTTTATGCATTGCTGCTTCCACGTGGGAAAATTTCCGATAATTCTACTCCACTCTTTGCCATTCTTTCATTCTTTTTTTCATGAAGTAACCAGGTGGGAGGCCAATTAAAAGCCAGGTCTTTGCCTTCTGTCCAGCCCAGTAGAAAATCCCAAGTTTTAGAGCCCTTATACCATTTTTACTGAAATCGTGGTGTTACAAAGGACGGAGGCTTTTGCTGGTCTCTTCCCTCCTATGTTCCGACTCTGAAAACTTTCTGTACTTAGATTATTGGCCGTTTATTCGTTTCAATAGTTACTCACAGAAATGCAGGTTCCGCGTTGTTTCATATGTAAATAGTCATCTAAARAGCCAGCAGTCATCAAATATAATTTTCTCCCTCAACTCTTTGTTTTTTAAGCTAAATAGYGAGTTAAGTTGGGATTTAAACCCAAATAAACCAAACTATTTAAGCACTCCTGCTTCTTGTAAATGTCAGAACATTAAGCCAGCTCTGTTTAGAGACACTTTCACTCTTTGAGAATTATTTCTATCCGAGCAAGTTCACAAAGAAAACTAGTTGAGAGAAAGGTGTTTGYTCTGAGGCAACACAAGCGCCTCCAGTGAAAATCTATGATGTATAACAGAAAAAAAAAAGACCCTATTCCATGCAAACCACCTCCTTTTCTTTCYCTTTCTGGGCTGTAGGTGACGTTCTGATGAATCCTCTCCCCCAGTCACAGTTTGTCCCCCTGGCTGAAGCTCTTTGCTGCACCGTATCGCAGATGAACGCGAATCACGTGAAGGCTACGCAGGAAACGCTGACAGAGCAACTCGTGAAAAGCTATCCAGGTGCTGAACCTACTCCCCCTCCTCTCAGAAGGCACTGTGTTATTGTGTTTGGGTTCCTGATGTTGCACAAGTCATCACCAATGGCTGTTTAGGAGCAAAACTAGCTATATGGAACAATATAAATTAGGCAGCAACTGGGGAAATGTATTAATATGCACATAATTCTCAGGAACGTGTCAGCACYGATAGCCTTGTTTTGAACAGAGTAATTTTAAAGATTTTCTTTGCAAAAGAGAGAGCTGAGTAGGGAAGCATGCTGAGCCTTTTCCTATGGGAACGCATAGATGAGGTAGAAACCAGATAAAAGCATAAAATACGGTACCAGATAAACAGCATAAAATACAGTAGGGGTCTGTTCACTACATCTTGGAGTCCTTCTCCAAAAAGAGCAACACAGAGGCTGCATTTGGTGCCTGCGATCACAAATGCAACTGACCTCAAATTCAGCTCTGTTAGTCAAATTCAAGCCCCTTCCTCTCCAAAAGACAAAATGAGCTTTAGCCCTTCTGATGAGGGAGCAGCCATTTCTCTGAAATGCTGCACTCCCCGTCTGATAAAACGTCCAATTTCCCAGAGATCTGGAATATTTCCGTGCTTGTGGGACRTCTGACAGCTCATTCTGCCTCATCTGCCTGGTTTGATGCTGAGCCTCTCCTTTTGATTCTTTACAGTCCTACAGGCTGACCTGCCAGGCCAAGTCCTGTTCTTTGTTCCCTGCTGTAAGGACAGAATGGCTTTCTTGCTAGGTTTCACCTTGCTGGAAGCTTTCCCTTTCCTGGGCAGTAGAYCAGCACAAGCTGGGGGCAGCAGGTCGGATGTCACCATATTAATGACTCTGGAGTGTGGGACCTGAGGGAAACCAGCAGCTGATACTGCTCACAGCAAGGCAAAGGTGTTAGCAACTGCCATCTGACAAAGCACTTCCAGAGGCTGCAGAGAGCGCCACAAAAGCTGTTGTTAAATAACGTGCCCCGAGAGAAAGGTTTTGGACAGCGCACTGTTTAACTCGTTTGCTGGTAGGAGGTCTCTCCCATGAAGATGAAATTCAGAAATGCAGCTTGTTTTGGCTTCTAGCCGGGGGGTGTCCTTGTGTCCTCAGTGAGGACTGGCCCCAAGGGAGGCAAAGGTGATTCTGGAGGTGTGCAAGGCACTGGCCAGACTGCAGCAGGGTGTTTCCGTGCTGCCCTCGCCTGGCTGGCCCCAGAGTCCCACACACGGTCCGGGGAGCCCCAGCGCACTGGCTCTGGAAGCTCAGCACGCTGAAGATGGATTTTAAAAAATCCTGCAGTTTCTCTGTGATGTCAGACACTTTCAGGCCGAAATCCAGCTTTTCCTACCCAAAGCTTCAGCTGGTATGTCGGTTTCCAGCTTTTTTTCCCYCGAATCCTGCAAACTGAATTCACTGGCTATTTCATGTCTAGTTCTACATAACTCTTTGGCCAGCTCCCATTGTATCTGAAATCTTACTTCTGATTTTAAATATCCGTATGCTTGTTGCAGGCATTGCTGTTCCCTCCCACGAAACTGTGTATCMCACCCTCAGCACTCTAATTAAAGACAGGAAGATCTATCACACGGGAGAGGGCTACTTCACAGTCACCCCTAGCACCTACTTCATCAGCCATAACACCACCGAAGCCACAAAAAGGGGCCCACTGGAGGGCAGTTGCTGCTCATCACGCTCCATCACTTACCTTGTCACCATAGAGCGCTGTGCAGACCTAACCAAGGAAAACATTCCTACACTATCCCGCTACAGATCCTGCCGTTGTTTTCCTGACAGGAATACGCTCCATGAACAAAGACATCAGCAGCTTCGGAGGTCTGAACCTAATGRGGGAGGTAAGAATGGCTGCAAGGAACTGAAGTCTTCAATTCAAGACGAAATGGTGTCAGCGTGTGGTGAAACCCATTCCTGGGACACCATCAAACTCCTGGTATCAGCGAAAGAAAAACTGAAATGTAAAAGATTTGGCCTTGGCCTTTTTTGCAGGAAAAAAGGCAGGAAAGAGTATTCCACCTTCTCAGCCCAGTTTCCTCCCAAGGAGTGGCCAGTGAGGGACGAAGATGACCTGGATAATATTCCACGTGATATCGAGCATGAAATCATCAAGCGCATCAACCCCATGCTAACAGTTGAGAATCTGATTAAACACACGGTACTGATGCAGAGGCTGGAGGAGCAGAAAACGTGTTTTAGCAAAGGGACCTTGGCTGAACCGTTAGCACTCAGGCAAAATCATCTCGCAAAGGAGCCCGCGCAGAAGGCACAAAGTAAAGCAGCAGGGCATGGCAGGAAAAGCAAACCAAGCAAGGAGAAGCCAGTTAGCAGAAGCAAGAGGAAATCTCAAATACAAGGGCTAACATCGCACAGTGAGAAACCAGAGGAGCATCTGTCACTGTATGATACAAACCCAAAGCTGTTTSACACAGCTGCGGCCTCCCAGGGCATGTATAAAAAGCAAATTAAGAACCCGTTTCAGGGCCTGTCGTGGAGACACGACTTGAACGTGAAGGGGAACGAAGGTCAGACTAAGAGTCAGCCCAAGCCCAGGGCTCGAAAGCAACAAAGGAGGTCTCTGGATTCCTCAAAAACCTTTGGATGTGAAGCTGAACTGGYTGCTGAAAAGCAGGCTGACAAAGCCAAGCCAAATAAATTGCTCCATGTTAATAGATCTTCTCTCCAACTGAGCAAAGACAGCTTAAGCGAAGAAGGTCGTCATCTGCAAGGCAGCACTTTGCAAACAGATGACAAATGTAAATACTTTATGGAGAGCAGGATTTCTGAAGGCAGCATCTGCAGACAAACAGCCCCAAAAAAGCCTGTGGCTGCTCAAAAATCCCCTCGTCGTTACACTGAAGACGATGTTGTGTGCAAAGGAGATGCAAAATACTCATTAAATGCAAAAGATGAGCACTCCAAGTACAAAGCTCACTCTGCATGTAAATTGCTAGATCAAACATCAAACACGTTTCAAAATGTCAGCCTTTCAAATTATACAACCCGTGCTAACCTGCTACACGAAAACAGTGTGAAATACAGACAAAAGACTGATAAAAGGAAGGAATTTGTATCTGAATCCGACTGTAGGAACCGGTCTGGATCAGTGAAGCTGGGAGGTGAGGGACTTGCCCATGACTGCCACCTGGTGCACCAAAAAGCTCGTGATGGCAACACGTGTGGCTCCTTGTGTGTGGGTGACMATTTTGAGCGCGGTGAGGCAGGGCACTTGCACCCTGGCTGTGCTTTTTCAGGTGCAAAGGGCTGCCGTAGGGCCGTGCAAAAGGCACAAAAGACACCTATGTGTGTGGAAAACGTGATGGTTAATGTTCATCCAGCCCAGCATTGCCCCGCTGTAAGCCAATGTGACTCCCGAGAGCACCAATACGAGCAATGTTCTAGTCTCGCTGAACCAAGAGATGGCCCAAAAGTGCACGAGGAAACAGGTATCACTAAAAGCTGTCCCTGCAGCCCAGTGCTTCTGACGAGGCACAGAAAGGAAGAGGAAACTGGTCTCCGTGCATGTGTGAAGGCTTCAGCTGTTACAGACTTCTGCAAGGTTCCTGGCGCTTTGCAGAGCTGCAGCTGCGAGATGGGAGAAGAGCTGGAGTGCTCTGCCCTGGGCCCGCAGGCCAAAGAAAGGAGAAACTCCGTGGTGAAAAACGGTCGCTGTCTTAACAGTGCTTGTGCTGTGATTGCAGGGCAGAATCACTCGGAAGGAACAGAAAATTACAGCATTACYGGAGACAGCGGTATTGACTCCCCAAGGTAAGAAGCCTATGGAACGACGCTAGATGTTTGTTTTCTAAAGCCACAACCTCATTTTTAGGCATTTGCTGCTGTAAATTACAAATCGCTCTCCCCAACAACAAAACTGTGATGTTTAAAAACTTCTGTATTATGAACCAGACAACTTCAAATTGCACATTCTTACCATGTCTTTTAACATGAATGTTCCCCATAACTGCTACTGTTTGGATCCTTCTTCCCGAGGCAAGGGAGTTTTATGAGCTGCACGTTTCAGGTGGAGGTGCCAAAGTGCAGCCACTTTGTTAGGTAGCACAGAGATAGCCAAATTAAATGTGGTCCTGGTTAAAGGGAGGTTTAACTTGCCCTGATGTTGCCCCTGTCACATTAACAGGTATCGTCACCTTCTCTGCCCTTGCAGACCAAGAATAAAAAACCCTTTATAAAGGTTTTCAGTCGCAATTACAATGGTAAAACACTGTCTGGCTTGCTCATAGCTGGCAGCAGGGTGTGTATGTCACCTGAATGAGTGGCTTTGGCCTCCTTCAGTATGGCACACACTGCGGTAAGTGCCTTTAGTATGGCACACACTGCCTGCAACTGTGTAGTCTTGTTTAAGCTTTGGAAAATTCACTCCGTGGGGAAAAAAACATGCTAGTATGAAACGGTATTTTAACTGACAGCCTATATAAAAACTGCAAAACTGTTAACCTAATCTGAAGTAGGAAATACTCATAAAAACTGGCAAAGAATACATTAATGTTGTGAGGGAGAAAATACACATTTTCTTTATAATAGCATCATATAGTCTCAAGAACCAAACCTGGTATTAAGGTGTAATTAGGCTCCTTGAGTTCCCATCAGAGATGTATTATTATCTTGAGAAATTAGTATAGGAAGGAGTGGATCATGCACTACAGTATTGATAGAAATACTGGGCCCTTTTTGCTTGCATGGGGGGCAGAGCTTCTGCCTGTGAAACCATTTAGCATCCATTTCAGTTTATTACCTTCAATGTGGATGCCTGAAATCTTCTGGATGCTTTCTAGCAAACAAATTCAAAGGGATATTTTGACTGTAGGTACTTACCATGCCCGTGATGCGAGGGGCTAAAGCCAACTCTGTTTATGTCTAGAACACTGAGTCTGACACCTAATAATTCTGCTATCTTAGATGGAATGAAAAGACAAAGCTTCCTGCAAAATTTTGTACGCATAAATATTAATTCAGAGGCACTGGAAACGCTCCTGGTCTCATGTGTGAGGCTGCCCCTGCATTCAAAGCTGTTTGTTAGAAGTTTTGCCTGTGCTATTGAGTTGCGTGTATCCCTGTTGCTCTCACGTTTCGGTACTGTTTGTGGCCCTGTTTCTAATAAAGGTGAGGACTGCTACACGTCCTTTGGGTCCCATGAATAACCTGGAGCTGTGGTGTGTGTTGCTCTAGCAGGAACGGTGCTGCAYCACAGGCCTGGTTTGCAGGGCAGTTCCTGGAAGGAAACCTTGTGGCTAAAACGCACCTTGTTGACACACCTGCTCTCCGGAGGACGGCTGCTTCTCTCGGGGGTTACTGACAGACTCGGGGTCTCTCTGCACACGCGGCCAGGCCGGATCCGCTCAGCGCAGCCGCGGAGCTGCCATGGTGGCAGGAGCGGGGCCCTCAGCGCGGCCGCTGCAGGCTGCTCGGGGCAGGCACAGCGCCCTGAGSCTGGTAGAGGGGCAGTGACAGGGAAGGAGAGCGGCGGGGCCGCTTTCCAGCTCACAGGGCGGCCTCGGGCCTCCTCGTCCCTCTCCCTGCTCTGAGTCGAAGCGCGAGGCCTTGGGCTCCTGTGTTAACCTGGTGCTCCAGGAGCCGCCAGGCTCTTGGTTTGACCTGGAGCCGGTGGGCGTTGCGGCCTGTTAGCAGCGGCGTCCAAAGGCGGGGGCCCAAACGGCGGCGCGAGGCCCTGGGCACCGGGCAGGCGGTTCCGGGGCC